TTTCAGCAATCTTATCACAAACACCTGCTATATCACAGTAATGAAAAGCCACATGTCTGTTCAACTTGTGGACGAGCTTTCAAGGAGCTTTCGACTCTACACAATCACGAACGAATACATAGTGGAGAAAAGCCGTTTAAGTGCGAAGTGTGTGGTACGTTTTTAAGTAAATATTGCATTATAAATTTGTAAGACACAACCTAATTTTCCCCAAAACTTTCATCTTCTCCAGGAAAATGTTTTCGACAACGTGTCTCCTTCTTGGTTCATACACGCATACATACCGGCATTATGCCCTACAAATGTGATGTGTGTCAGAAGAGCTTTCGCTATAAGGTCTCCCAGCGAACACACAAGTGCCAACCTCCGACATGTCTGTCAGACGAGGTTGATGCTGTACCGTTAGAAGGTGAAACAGGACAGAGTTTGAATAAGCAAGCACATGATCACACCACTGATGATATATCGGAAAGCTTCATCAAAGAATTTTTGGAAAATACTAGAGTACATACGGGTGATGCACAGAATTCGCCAGCCAGCGCCGAGATTGCAGCCATTACCGCTGTTAGCGATTGCAATGGCAACTTCGATGAGGCGCTACTCACCAAAGCTATCGATGATATAGTCGTGGAGTCTTGTAATAAAATGGGTATTGGAAATCAAGGTCAACACTTGTCACCTTCTAGTATGCGTTCTGCGGTAGCACCGCCGCCGTTGGCCCCCTGCAGTGATGATTGCAATTCACCAACACAGAAATTGCAAAACATGAGGTTGTATTCACCACAGCTGGAGTCAAGTATGGGTGATGTAGTATGTAGTGATAGCGTAGATAACATATTTCCACGATTTCTTCTGGACGATGTTGGAAGCAATATGATGTAAGATCAAGAAATACATATTTATACTAAAAACTAAAAAGTTACGAAATCGATTGTAAATTTTGTATAAATCTATAGCTAGTTTAATTCACATATTTTAAATAATATAAACTAGACAAATATAAAATGAAACCAAGAAATGTTAAAATTGATACACTGAAAAAATGCTTCTCATTCAAAACTCCATACTGCCTTAAGTACCTTCAGCTATCCTAATGAGGTTCTTGATCGCCGGTTTTCTTAAGCCTGAAGGTTTTTGCAAAATGTTTTAATCTCTGTTTAGGTACGAGTAGTTCACCACACAGAACAAGGTTAGGCATATGGATGTACGTTAGGGTGGTCTAAAAATGCATGTGAAAACTAAAGTCTGAATTTTTATGCTCTTACACCCCAGGATCGTATTATAACGAAAAAAGTATAACCTTATGTTAATGTTATTTTAAAATCAAAAAGTATTTAGAGGTCGCTAAAAGCGCTCAAAGTTGTCCATGTATTTCGTATGGAAAAAAACAACTTTTCGTAGAAATGGTATAGAATTCCTAAAAATCAATATTTTTCGATCGGAAGACTCTGTTTCTCTTTAGGAGATCCCAGTAATAATACCCAATTGTTTATTTAACCATTTTTTCATAGTCACTACATTTTATAGGTCCGCCAAAAACCCCAGAAAGTGCAATGGGTGCAGCAATAAAGAATCTTTAAAGAGTGGTTAAATTTTTGCAGAAGGAACTTTACTTCTCAGTTCAAAACACACATAATTTTCCTTCGATTGAACGGTACAATAGTAGTTATCGTAGGATTATTAGTTAGTCTGTTATCTTCCCACGATTTTTGAGTTATACCTAGGCTTGTTGCACCCGGTTGCTGATGGTTTCTTCATGCAGCTCGGTTACTCAGTTTACCAGATCATTCGCGTAGTCTTGGCTGTTCAGTATGAAAAAGTTCTTCTACAACCATTGTACATAAAAGGGGAGAGAGTACACCCCGGCTGGGGGCAACCTCGTGCGGCTGTTATCGATTCAGTAGTGTCCCCCTAATTCAATGCCGCCTTTACGTGTTCTTACCCAAATCCCTTAAACCTTTAAAATTTTGTTATCTTTGGCTTGATCTCGTTGATATATCCCCACCTAGAAACCCTCTGGTTGACGGAGATTTTTTCGGATCTACCCAAAATCACTTCTAGTATTTCTTTAACCATACACGTGGTTATCTTCAATGCATATAAATATGCTCGATTTCCATACGTCTTCAGTAGATAGGTTGATTGCCTTAATTGCCACCTAGAAAAAATTAGTAAAGGATCTGAGAAAGCATTTATCCACTGATTTTCTGCATTCATCGTTGGAAGGAAAGGTTAAATTGGCTATTAAAGCAGGTGGACGCACGTGGAGATATTTAGCGCACTGGATTCTCTTTGGCGAGTACGGAAACTAGTGAGACTATCAGAAATCAAGGAAGTAAATATTCGGCTGGATTATTTCACTCAGATTTCTTTAAAGAACTGAGTTGAGTATGGAGGAAGGTGGAGCTTACTCCATAGCACAGTGTGTGTATTCACCAAGAAGGATATAAATATTTTTTTGAGTATGTAGAAGGATAGTCGGCCGCTGTGGTGTAGTGGCAAGCAGTGCGCGCTTCCACTCCGCAGCGCCTGGGTTCAAGCCCTGGTTAAAGCCCTGGTTAAAGCAACATCGCAAAAAATATAGAAAAATGTTTTTTCTTAACAGCGGTCGTCCCTCGGCAGGCAATGGCAAACCTCCGAGTGAATTTCTGCCATGAAAAACAGCTTCTCATAAAAATACAATAGCCGTTCGGAGTCGGGGTAAAACTGTAGGTCCTTCTGCTTTGTGTGACAGTCGGGGGAGAAGCTCTGCCAAACACTAACATATGTGTAAGCGCCAATCTATTATTATTATTATGTAGAAGGATAGGTTTTCGAAAAAGTCCCACAAGTAAATAGAATGCAGCTCCTGAAAGTATTTCATAATAAACTGTTTGCCTGTTGATAAGTTGGAGTAGCAAAATTGGGGTTGTTTTACAGACTTATCCACATATTTGTAGTAACAATCATGTTGCTATAACGTAAACTGTTATTGATAAAACGTAGAAGCGCAATGAAATAAAGCATTTACCGAATTCAGTACTGGATTTCCACTTTAAACATCATGCAACATTTGATAGTCGACTATTCCAGCCAAATTATAAAACTTTCTCTATTTTTCTTTATATTTGTGACTAAATAAAAATAATATTCAAACTATTATTGTTATTGTAAACGCGAAATAAATACAGTTGTCATAAGTTTAACGGTGCACTAGGAATAATGACGACGGAGGAGGAGTCTCGAATACAAGATGACATTATTCAAAAAGCGATGCGGGCCATGGGTTGGGATCCCAACTCGGAAATACCCATGGCCAATAAGGAAAATTTATGTATACTAGCCGAGATGGAGCAAATGGTGGAGGAGAAGCTACAATTATTGGAATCCAATATACAAACAGAGGATCGTTTAGAGAAATTACTGCAGCATTCAAAAAATGCTGAAATGTGTGTAAATCAGAATTTGGTAAGCGGCGGAGACTCCGTATCAGCATAGTTAAACAATAGAAGTACATTTGTTTTTATATAATTTGTTTGTAGAAACTTTTGCAAGCGCATCAATCGGAGGTTCACACTGAGGCACATCTCTTTAAAGTAGCCGAGCGTGTGCAGTCGAAATTGAAAGTCGACATAAGGCGCATCGATAAGGAGACTGAGAGTTACAACGAATATGTGAACACCACCGAGAGTAAGACCACTAGCATACTTATGCTTACTTCCACACTTACTCACTTTAATTCTCCCATTCATTTGCTTTCAGAGGAACTGTGTAGACGAAAAAATGCCATAGATGATTTGACTTCACGCGTAAAATGGGCCAAAACGGTGTTGCTCGAATGGCGTGACGCAATGGAGGACACCAACAAGGGTTATCAATTGATTGAGAAATACTTCAAGGAAGATCAAGTGTTGGCGCGACAGAAGGATGCACGTCGGCAGCTGTTGCATAACGAATATGAGAAACTCCGCAAAGAGCTGGTGAAATTGTATGATGAACAGAAATCACTGGAGCAGAATATTGAATGTACAGCAGTATTATATCGCACGGCGCATATGGAACGTCGCCAAATGGTAGAAACATGGAAGCTCGCCGTACAGCAGATGTTGCAGCGTGAACGCGACGTGCGACACAACGAAGTGGAATTGAGCAATCTGAGGCGGGAGGCGGAGCGTGTGCTGAAGGAAAAAAAACGTTATGATGCAAATTTGGATAATATTATAAAAAATAATCGTGAAGTGGAGCACACCATATCGGTGCTGAACGAAGAAACTTCGGAAATTAAAGAGCAGATACAAAAATTGATCGATATGACGATTTTGAAGGAAAATGAGGTACATACATACGTACAGCTGGAATGGGCTTGCAAAACCAATTCAATTAACAAGCATATATTTTTTCCATTTTGAGGTGGAACTGCTGCAAAAGGATCTACAGAATCTTTCAAATAAAGTGCAACAACAACGTATGGAGAATCGTAAAATGTCTAAGGATAAAGATAAACGCACCAAAGCATTAGAAGATCTGAAAGTGTTGTTGCTGAAACTAGAAAGTCGTCTAAACGACATGACAAATAGGCACATGAGCGCCGAGCAGCGTCTACAAATGCTAGAAGAGATGAACGATGCAGCAGAGAAGTCGCAAAATGAGATAAATAGAGAAAAAATCCAACTAAATGGCCTAATCTATCGGAGTCAGCAGGATTTACAAGAGTTAAAGGATGAAAGCAAAAGATTGGAGGTGAGTTAAAATTAAAAAAACGACAGGTCTTGCGGCGGCGGTGTGGTCAACTTCAAATAGAATCGGCGGCGGCGGCGACGCCGGCTCGTCTGGAAACGCCGGCGCTACTGCCCATGAGGTAGATTCCAAAGAGCCATGAGGCTACTAATCTTATCATGTCATCTCGTCAGCGTTAGGCATTCACCAAGCCAATTCAGATTATAATTCTATTTAATTTATTCATTGAACTAGTTTTAAGTTTAAATTACGATGGACGAACAGAAGACGGTCTGAGGTCTACACCCTGCAGGAAATGTATCTAACTATAATCTAACTTTAAGTTGATTAGGAAGCAGCTAAAAGTCATTTATTATCTGTATATTTTCTTTGGCGAAACCGAACTATATTTCCACGGCGATGGCCGCGAAATAGTCAAGGGTGGTTTACCTCTGCATTAGATGTAACTAACTTGTAACTAACTACTTTTGGACATAAAATATCAATAGGAAAAATAAAATATTTTTTTTAATTTTATTTTTATTTTTTTATTTTTATTTACTTTATTACATTTCATATTTGTTTTCATATTCTGCTGTAGGTGGTCCCATATTCGAACTCCGTCAGACATAACTTCAAAATGATAATATGAAATTCCGATCTTCCTTTTACTTGTCCTCAACGCGTTTGTCAAAACGCGTTTAAAGAAAACAATCTCCTTCATTACTCCTGCATTACTTGTCAACTAGTTTCAAGCTAGCTTTTTGTAGCTAACTACAAGTTATATATTTTATAGAAATCCCGCAAAAAACTTGGTTATTTTTTATCAATTGATAATTTTTTTTTGCAGGACAGATCCGTATGTACTATTTAAATTTAAAGAAATAAAAAATTTTAAAAGTTAAGTTATTGGGATAATTTATGTCGCTATCAATAAATTTTTGCAATATTCTTATCAACCGTCATGTTAAGTTACGGAGTTCATACGATTTTTTGCGGATTACATATTGAAAACAAGTTTGGTCTACTTTTTTCCAAAAATTTAACCCATCAACTCGAACCAGAACGGGTCTTTTTGACCCACTGTTTAAAAAAAAGGCTTATAGATGGTTAAAATGTCCACTAAAATATTAAGCGCCAAATTTTTCTAAGGAGAACCGAATGTAATGAAAAATAATACTAATTTTTACCAAAAAGGGGGAACTTTAACCCTTTGTAGAAAACGTTGCGATACGAGGGAGCAAAACCTTCCTGGGGTTTGACCGCCATTAAAGAATGCTAACGTAATTTTCACACAGCCACCTAGTAATTGTATGGGGTCCCACATACGCCCCAGAATAAAATAACTTACGAATGTAAAAATTAGCAAAAAAAGTGTTTGCTCTTTTTTTTTAAAGTCTGTTTAAAAAAAAAAACAAAAAAAAAATACTCAGGAAAATCAACTTGTCTTTGTTTTATCTCTAATAATTGAGGAGTAAGATGGAATGAGTTAGATCAACAGAAGCTGCTTCGGTTAAAACTTCTTTCTGAGATATTGGCGTCTAAGTTTTTGACGTGTTATAACTTTATTGTTGTTGTAGTATTGGAAAGAGTTGTCTATTGCGGAAGAAAATCGTTAGATTACCATTATTCGACCCTAATTTAACTGTAATAAATAATCGCTTTCGATCGAAAATTATGTTACTTATGTTTTTTCTGAGTTGCGCTCTTTTTGGAAAAATAAAGGAGATCATATTCTTGTCCAGTGGCCCAAATTATGCAAAAAAAACTCATTTAAAAAAGTAATTTTCATTTCGTAAAATTGTGTTTTTAAACGAGTAGTATGTATTTAGTTCCTTCAAACGATGTATTTCAATGTACATACATCATGAAAAGTGTCGGTTAAGCCTTTTTCTCCGTGAAAAATTTGTCATTGTAGAGAGGAAATCGTTAAATTTTTGTGTGAAAGTTTTGTAGCGTCTCTATTTTTCTTCAAAATGTGGACTTTTCTAAAACAAAGGTAAACTAATTTGTGGTAGATTAAGATCTTTAATTAAAAGGATAAAAATGTAATACATGTACATTAGACTGCATCACCAAAAAAAGTTGCGGTTTTTCCGGCGGGATTACAAAATTTATTATATGTTAAGACGTTCACCAAAATATTTGGGAAAAATATTAAGATTTAAGTCAGCTGGACCGATTTGAAAATACCTCCAAAAACTGAGTGTTTTATGAATAAAAATAGTTTCGTAAAGAACTTTTTGAAAAAAGTCTGCTCAGATGACAAAACAGATTAAGCTTAAAAAATCTGCATACAAATATTTTAAAAAATTTTCAACGGAATCGTAAGAATGAGATTTTTAATGCTGTTTTTTTACTTTTTTCAAAGATTGATTTACGAAAAACTTGAATAACAGGGCCAAAACTATTCTGATTTAGACTCATGGGATCTCGGTAGAAAGGTATTTTCACACTGTTTTTATTTCTGTCCAAAAAAATATCATTCGTGACGCAATTTTTTTTTTTTCAAATACCAACACATCTTAATTCAAGTTTGAATGACGTTCGTTCATCCTACCTTTCTCTTTCATCCTTTGAATGAGTTTATTAGCAAAGAAATGAAAAGGGTGAGAAAATACCTTTGCACCGACACCTCTTAAGTCTAAATCAGAAGAGTTTAGGCTCAGTTATTCAAGTTTTTCTAATACCAATCTTTGAAAAAAGTTAAAAAAACAGCATCAAAAATCCCATCATTACGATTCCGTTAAAATTTTTTTTTAATTTTTTTAAAATATTTTTATGCAAATTTTTTAAGCTTAAACCGTTTTATCATTTGAGGGGAATTAAAAAAAAAAATTCAAGAAACTATTTTTATTCATAAAAACTCCATTTTTGGAGGTATTTTGAAATTGGTACAGCTCACTTAAATCTTAATATTTTTTCGAAATATTTTGGTGGACTCTTAAAATATAATAGATTTTATAATTCCAATGGAAAAATAGTACCGATTTTTTTTGTATGGGGAGTGATGCAGTCTAATGTACATATATGGTGTTAAAATACTTGGCTTTTGCAGAACTTAACTAAAGGCGCACTAGTCCCATACAGCGACACCGATTCTTCTGAAGAGTTAGTTGAAGAGGAAACTTGTGTAGGAAGACGAGGTTGGAAGACGCCGAAACCACTACCCAAAAGTCTTCTACAGAAGAAACAACGTAGTACTGCCGTAAGACTCAATCCGTGTGCTAATACAAAGTGCGGAAATGCTTGCGCCGATAATTTCACTTAGAACCGGCGGTTACAATTAAATGAACACTTTTGGGGGATGGGCAATAAGAATCGTCAAAGGGCATGGCCGTTATCTTGTATGAAAAGGGGCAACGTTAAAAGAAAAAAGAGTAGAAAATAGCAAAAGGCGCTTCAGTTATGATTACGTTATAAATTACAATAATACAAGTACTAAAGTATGCCAACAGTTTTTGCTTAAAACACTAAACATAACGAAAAAAAGTGGTTTCTTGCCATAATAGGACTCCTAAGGATAAGATAGCTCTCGCAAATTCGTTTATTGAACAACTACCAGCAGTTCTATTCCTTTACTGTCGAAATAAAAGCAACAAACTGTACCTTCCAGAGCAATTTCGCAACGTATCAATATTATACAAATGCTATAGCGAACACTTAAAAAGCATTAATAAGCAAACAGATCAGTTATCCCTCCGGATGTTTCGACAAATCTTTCAAAGAACGAGATTTGCAACGAGATTTGTACCGTAGTTTTCCAGTATTTAAAAATAGTGGACCAAAGAAAAACCCATACATCCATCAGTTTATACTGCGACAGTTGTGCAGTTCAAAGCCGGAATAGAGCTATGCTTGCAACACTTTCATTTTTCTTAGAAAATTCAACTAGTATTCAAAAGATAAAAATTACATATTTATTACCATACAATAATGCCAGTTGATTCCGTACATAGCACAATCGAGTCGTTTATTCGCAATAGGAATATTTGGGCTCCGAGCGAATGGTACACTGTCAACGCGAGGACTAATCCAGCTGGTTATAACTGTATGAATGAATCATTCAGATTTTAAGAACTGGAAAGCGTTTTCACTAGCAGTATTTGAGCCTTCATCAAAATTGTTCTTCAAAACATTGCGATCTGTGGAATTAGTAAAGAACAATCCTAATGTTGTGCTGAGGTGCGGATACTTTGAACATTCCTAAAAAATTGAATATGTATACAAAACGCAACTCCTTGTTACTAAATAAAGGACCTTCAACTATATACAGTAGTTTACAAAATATTTCATCTATCAAGTATGCAGATTTGAAAACGCTTTGCGATAAAAATATAATTCCACAAAAATTCCAAAGCGAGTACCTTAACCTAAAACATAAGTCATTTATTAAAGATTCATTACAAGACACTGATGAAGATGACGACACCGAAGTTATTTAGTTTTTATAGCGAACTATTTTAATATTAACGTATGTATTTGTGTTGAAGAGTGGTTTTCTTAATAACCACTGCAGCGGATAGTTTCTTCGACCAGCTTAGTACAAGACTCCCTGTTGTGGATCTCTCCCGTTGTGGGTGAATTGCCTTGGGAATCTGCGAACATCGACCCTAGACGGGTTCCATCCTGGTTTCCTGCGAGGGATACTACGTGTTTGCCCTCGCGTGATGGCAGTGACTTGGAAGGTGATGTAGTTGTGGTCGCTACCACTCAGGTCTTCAATCACTCTCCATCCGTCAGCCCTTCGAAGAAGGCTTTCTGAGACCAGGGTTATGTCAGGGATAGAGTATCCAAAACCCGGCCTTCGATATGTAGGGGTCGTTCCGGTGTTGAGGATGGTCAGGCCAATGCGGGCTGCCATTTCAAGGACCAGTCTTCCCCTGGTGTTTGTTTGGGGCATACCCCATTCCACGCCTCTTGCGTTGAAATCTCCAACAACAATTATGTGGCCGGTTATATCGCGCAATTCGTCTTCAAGGTCTTCGAGCTTTCCCCTGAAGACAGGGACTGTGTCGTTTGGAGACAGGTAGCAGCTCACCAGAGTGATTTGCGCCATTTTAACCCAGACGTAGCAGCGTCCGACCCCGCTGCTCTCTGCGCGATGGTTGGGGTTAGCAATCCATATCGCGGCCGACTCTGATTGGTCAACATGCCAGGTTTCCTTTGTTCTATAGGGTTCACTGATGATGACAGCGTCTGCTCTTTGTTCAAGAACCAATTGGTCCAGCAGGTCATCAGCTACCCTACTCCTGTTCATATTGCCTTGTATAAATTTAATCATATTCTCCCAAGCTTTGTCTTAGCCTCAGCAAGGGCATCCCTGAAGGCCTTGCACGCTCCCGACCCGGGCAGGTGATGGGAATTTTTCTGTCCATCTCCTGCCGAGCACAGGTAGCAGCTTGGGCTTTCTTTACACGCAGAGGCTATGTGGCCCTGCTGACCACATTTCCAGCATGAACTGCTTCTGTCTGGGCCTTTGCATGCCGCCTTTTTGTGGCCATACCCCAGACAGCGGAAACACCTTTGGACATCCGCGCGCTCTCGGACGCGGCAGATAATCCAACCTACTCGCAGCTTCCCCTTTTCAATAAGAGTCCGGCCTGGCAGTTCATCGATTTCCACCACGGCCATTCTTTGTTCTCGCGAGTTTACAGCGAGGAGAGAGACGCGAAGTTGGCCATTCATCTTGTCTCCTAACTCCCCGCGTATAGCGTTCTCCACTTCTGGGGCCGTGGTTAGGCAGTCCATGCCCAG